CATTGTTTGAGATTACGACCGTTAATTACCTGCGCCGGTGTACCTATGCCAGTTTATTATTTTGTGCATTTGTTTCGACGCAATAAATTACACACCTCGACCTATTGCAGTTAGACACGTTCATTATACCATAAACTTTATGGCGTGATTAATAAGTGCATTTTGCTTTTTGTTCTATAAACTGTTTGTTGAAGGACTTAGTAAAGTAGGCATAGGTAAAATGGATATTGGGGGGGGGGGGGGGTAGTTATTGTTAGCAATGGAGTTTGACAGCCCCCTTGCTAGCAATATGCCTCATTAGGTAGATCTCCACGTGGTTCCTCCTGGAAACCATCGTGAACAAATCTTATTGAATTCGTCCCAATGGACTAACTGACCTGCTTCATCCTCACCTATCATCCTTCACTGGTGCCCCTCCGGTGTATATGGATAGCGCAAGTGGGGTTACCATTCCATTATCATCCATTAAAAAAAATATGGATATTGTATTTCTCTGGACATTGATAGTGGAAAAAAGGTCATCACTCATTTCGATATCGCCCATATTAGTTGGATATCTATTGATGAATACGTTAATATTTGTTAACCAATATTATTTTTTGATAACAGACTTATATATATATATATATATATATATATATATATATATATATATATATTACAATTAGGTTAAAAACGTTTGTGTTTGCTGGAAAAGATCTCTTACAGAGTTAAGCTCGCCTGTTGTACATCTTCATTTAATGTAAATTATAACAATGTAATTTATGTGTACAATAAATTATAAATAAATGAACGTTTATACCAAGAGTTGCCGGAGTGTTGCAACGTCGGAATTATATGTCAATTAAATATTTTTGTTTGATTATTTAACAATTAGGATCGTATTCCACAAAAACACCGACATCAATTGTGACAACACCAGTTATTTTGTTTCAAAATTAATTGATTTTAATAAAAATTCTAAAGACCGAATCTGTAAATATAGGAAATATAAATATTTAGATAAAAAAAAATCCAAGTCGGTTTACAACAGAAGGTGTTTTGAGGTAACAAACATAAAAAAATACAACCGAATTGAGAAGCTTCTTTTTGAAAATATACCTGGGTATAAGTAGGTATCGTTAAGAAGTGTCGATACAAATCAAAATTGAGTTAAACCACTCTATGTTCTCGTATATAAATTCATAGAAACAAAAATAAGTACCTAAGACTATGGTTTTACTTAATCAGCAAATGTAATGCAATTAGAAGGAATTATCCTAAAACGTGGCGTGGCGTGAGTTTACTGGGTACAGAGGAATAACACCTGAGTCCTCGGGAATGGCAACGCATGGGGGGTATCATGGGCGAAACAGTATACTCTGTTATGTCCATGGTACTGCTCACGTCTATAGGCGACGGTTACCACTTTCCATCAGGTGGGCCGTCAGCTTGTTTGCCATTCTAAGTTGTATAAAAAAACTTAAGATTTTAATGACAATAAGTAATTTATAAATTCAGAAGCAAAACATGTAGTAGATGCAAATTTTTTTTTGTGATGAATTTATGTACAATTTACCTATTCTATAACTAGTTCATTCATAAATACTTAAACCTTCTACAAACTTTTTTTACTATTATACAGTTTTGTCACGTTCTTTCAAATTAGGGATTAAGCACAAAAGAAAGAAACAAAACAGTTCTATAGCTAAACTAGGTTTATGAGAAGTTTCACGTTTTTATGAATAAGGGAATTAGTTTTGGGACTGCTTAAAGATTTCCTCATTTATTTATGAAAATGTTACAAACCATTCATAAACCTATTTTAGCTATTGATATGTTTTGTCCTTCTCTTTTGCGTTAATTTCTTATTTCGAAAGACAATGACAAATTATTTTATAATAGCTGATATAGTTTTATAGGATATTTTAGTTTTTATGAATAGGTAAGGGAAATCAGTTTCATGCCATTTATAACTATATAAAACATTGAATTGATCCTTTTTCAATACGCTATGCCACGCGTCAAAATTTCGTCATTTAACTTCAGATCCCTAAAATTTAAAAGTTTAAATTAATTTTTGGGTAATAATTACAAGTTTATTGGTAGAAGGTTTCGTAAGTATACATTATATTTTAATGTAATAACAGCCCGTTTAACTTACGTATAATTAGATCAAGAAGGTTCGACTAGTTTCGGGACCATTCCGGAGCCTTAGTAAGTACGTAAGTTAAACCAGTGGTTTATTACAGTTAAATATAATCGGAGTTGTTAATCAAAATAATCGAATCAATTTTTGGATGAATATTCTAGATAAAAATATTATCATTGTTTTTCTATATTGCGATTTTAAGAAGTTATGGTTTCAAACTTCAAAGGGAGAAATTTAAACCGTCAGTTTTAAACACACTATTGGATTGGAAGTATAGCTAAGTTTCCACGTCGGCGCAAGAGGACTTTAACTAATAATTTTTTTTTTTTAACTATATTTTCACTTATTTTTATATTACGATCACGGTTTTTTGGGGAAATTGTTCGGCTTCGTCAATTGTATTTATAACTACCCGCATTTTGAAAAAAATGTGACTTATAAATACTTATAGATAGATATTTACTTAGTTTTTTTTTTACATACTACGTCTAGCTCAGTCGTACGTCAAATATTGTTTAAGTCTGCCTTGATTTACTTCAGAAATCTATATCACTCGAAAATGGTTCTTTAGAGCGTTCATACGAGATATGGGAAAGGCCCAATTAATCTGTCAATTTTCAAATTTTTTTAAATATTTTTCAACTGTTTTTTGATTAAACACTTAAAATATTGTCTGCTAGCGAAATTAAAGTTTAATCATGCAATTATATTCTTGTCTGTCATCGAAAATTTGGATTTCGATAGCAAAAATGTATTTGGAAAAAACTGAACCAAAATATGAAGTAGGTGCAAGGTTTTTGGCAGTAGATTTGCATGCAACTAACGTATTCTACTAATAATGTTTCAGTTTTTTTTATGCAACTTAGAATGGCAAACAAGCTGACAGCCCGTCTGAAACATTGAAATTTGTTCAATTGTTTTTAAAAATTGACAGAGTTCGGTAAGCAAGTTATGAACTCTCTTAAGCTTTTTTCGACAGTTTTAGTAATTTAGTTGAATAGTGAGTAAAAAGTTAGAAAGTTTTGCACAAATATCTAAACTATCTTAATATATAATCTTATCCCAACCAGTCTGAAACAACATCTCAGACGGTTGGGAGTCCGAGGCGGTTCACTCCCGGGAAAGATACAGAAAGCGGTGCTCTTAGATTCTGCCCGCATTGTACGCCGGTTTCTCTCCCTGGGACTCTGAACCCCGGCCGACTGTGCTTCTGCCGGGGGTTAGTTTGTCATCTCCTCTCCTTAAGAGGGGAGATGTGAATTTTTCTAGAAATTTAAAAATAATAATAAATAACTATAATAATCTTTATTTCCTACTTACAAGGAATATTTAACATTGTGTGACTATTCAGTATTTTAAATTCAAATTATTATCCTTGTGAGAGTCTGGAGTCTGAACTAGGTCGAAACCTGTACTTCAGATCTCCAGGCTCTCTCCGGAGTTTTACAATATATTACTATATTCGACTATAAGACATAATCTGCTCAAAATTTTGCTATACAAACACGTTTAGCAACTAAATTACGTAACATAACTCGCAACGAGATAATTACTAAAGCGGTCTGAATCGTGCTTTAGTAAAAAAAAAACTAAAGGCCATCGCTGATGCTATCTATCTTTTATTTTAATCGCTTAAGCGCTTTATGGTTAAGATATATCTACACCGAATGCCCTAATATCGACTATAAATTGTTTAGTCTAGTTTTTAATGTTACTGTAATAGCACGAATTATAAACGGGAAATCTTATGATTTTCTAGTAAAAGCTAAGAACTCTTAATACCAGATTAGAATTACCAGAGGGAGACTTTGTACAAAAGTCGATTGCTTGGGTACCTCTGTTCCATTCGTGTTTCAACCGTGAAGTAGTTGTGTTTGCATGGCTGTGTTTCGGTTTGAAGGGTGGGATATGGCAGGGAATTTACTGGGTACTGAGGAATAACACCTGAGTCGTCAGGAATCGCAACGCATGGAGAGTATCATGGGCGAAACAGTATACTCTGTTATGTCCACGGTACTGCTCATGTCTATAGGCGACGGTTACCACTTTCCATCAGGTGGGCCGTCAGCTTGTTTGCCATTCTAAGTTGTATAATAAAAACCTACCTAATAGTAATTATCTTCATAACTGTAGCAACTAATGGTAAAATTCCCCTCTATGGTATAGAGGTCTATGTTCAACAATGCGCAGATAATGCCTATTGTACTGGTTACATATAAGATTTACCAATATTTATAGGTTTTTACAGTAACATACCTATTAGGGATGGGTAATATATACCTAGTGATATCTATATATTTTTGACAATATATATATATATATATATATATATATATATATATATATATATATATATATATATATATTGGTCCAATAACTAATATGTTAAAAGATTTTCGAAAATACTCGTAGATATCCGATTGATTTGGCAATATCGAAATAGGTGATGACCTTTTTCCACAATTAATGTCCAGAAGAATCCAATATATAGATATCGGATCTATATATTGGATTCTTCTCGAATCCATATTACCCATGCCTGATACCTATATAACAGTACTTTTAGTTAAAGTATATTAGAACTATTTAATTATTTTCTATTTAGGTGATCGATAATTATTTATCAATATTCTTTTGTACTACTATGGTGGCAACAAGCATACGGCCCGTCTGATGGTAAACGAGGTTATCACTATGTAAATACTAACTGCATAATGTAGCATTCTCTACATCTGAGTATCGAAATATCTTATGATACATCTGAATAAATAGTCGCTAGAATAACAGCGACAAAGCGACGTTCTGTTCCACGCAACAATTATGTCTAATTAATATCGCATGTGTGCGCGACACGTGTCGCTCGTTGCAGGCACCGCGTCATTCTGTTGTCATTCCGCCACAGACGCAGCGCAGGCGGCCATGACGGTGGGCGTGGCCAATGTGCTATGCGACGATCGCTCCGCCCCCTTGGCGTGGCCTGCTGCTCCCACGGCGGCGCCCCCCGCACCTCTGTGGCAGTACCCGACCGGTAAGACACACCTCCGTTCGACTCATGCTCGCCTGGTAGCTACGCGCCAACTGCATTGCGAGACCGCCGTTTCAGCAACGATAGTTATCCCGCCTATTTGAATACAACACCTCTCCGGTCATGTTGCTTTGGTAGCGGCATTGCAACTGTACTTGTCCGGTCAATAGTACGCTGACCGGTTTTTGTTAACCGGACGAATTACATCGGCCGTTGTTCAAGAAGTGGTTGTTTCAACGAACGACTTCTCAAATCAGTCGGTTGTTCGATATCGCGTTTGCGCGGAGCTACTTTGGTTGGCGGGTTTTGTTCACATGTTATTTTTTATCTGTGTCCGTTAATTTTGATTTTAGAACAACAATGAATGACTGCCAGTTAAAAACAGTTAATTGCTTCCGTTCTAATTGCATTACTTTTGGTGATTAAGTATGCTTAGGTACTTATTTTTCTTTATATGAATTTATTTACAAGGACGTAGATAGATTGGTTGTATTCACTTTTGATTGGTATCGATACCTCTTAAAGGTACTTACCCAGGTATATTTTAAAAAAAAATCTTTTCAATTCGGGTTTTTTTTTTTATTTGAAAGAATATAGATATTTACAGATTGGCACCATAGAAATGGTATCAAAGTCGGTTTAGTAGGTTAGTTTTTAAATCAAAGTAACTATTTTTACCATAATTAAAATAGGGTTTTTTAGTTGTGGAATACTATAATCCCCTCCCCTCCCCCGCTCCGCCCCTAGCTACAGCCATGCTCGGATTTGATCGTTTAAAAAGTGCACTGCTAACGAAATGAAACGTTAATCTTGCAATAGGATTATATCGATAAAGTTGTCACTTAAAATTTGATTTTTTATTTAGGTATTTATTTATTTTATTTATACATTATTGTACACACTGATAATACAGCTATATCTCATTAGATCGATCTACACGCGGTTCTCTCTGGAAATCATTTTAGTTATATGTTATTCATATTGCTCTTATATATTGCTATGCAGATTACTAAATACCAAAAAAGTGTCCAAAAATTGTCCTCGTATTTTACTTTTCTCCAATCAATTTCCCAAAATTGTGCGAACACAATTTTTTTTACCCAAAACTGCAAAAATACCCTATCTGGTATTCTCTGATTCAACGGAATTTTAGTGTTAATAGTGTTTGGTCTGCATATGAATATTTATTAATTTGTTCACGACAGTAATTTAGAAAATGAATCGTTAATAATCGATATAACGAACCGTACTTAATAAATTACAATTCGGTGCTAAAATGTGTGTGATAGGAATGGATAATATATATATATATATATATATATATATATATATATATATATATATATATATATATATATATATATATATTAGTTACAATAGGTATCTATATACTAGTCTAATAACAAATAATTATGTTAAAAATACGTTATCCATAAAATAATATTACAGAGTTTTAACCCTTTGCACTCCAGCCTAGTAACTCATAGAGGATACCAATAACTAATTAACTTGACAATAATTTATTACAATGTAAACATATCATAAATACTATAGCATAAACACACGGTTTCGTTCACCTAAGTGTTAAGGGCGCTGAGTCAGTAAAACAAGCGTGTCCGAAGCCGCGACAGTGGATTTAATGTTAGCATTCTAATGGTACAAATACGGCGACAACGGATTGCAAAGGGTTAACATATTCCAAAATTGGTAGGTATGCGACAGATATGCACGATATCGAAATGTTCAGAGGGACCCAATATATAGATATCGGATCGGTATTCATATGACCCATGCCTAGTGAGTAAACATTACGTATCTATAAGAGTTTTCAACGACAAATTGCATGCACGAAGTTTATTATAGTTACTTACGAAATCCAAATTACCTGATACAATCATATAAAAAAAAAAATAAAAAAATAACAATAGAAACGAGAAAGTGAGAAATTCAACACTACTGTGAATAAAACGGTTAATGAAAGCGCTCATTATGTCATTTCATATTTAGCTTTAGTTACGAGGGTCGGATCAAAGGAGCCCATAATGAATAGATTCGGATTACGCGGGAACTCCTCTCACTTATGATGTGTTATTATTTTTAATTTGAAAAAATTATATACAGATAGTATAAATTTTAAAAAGTTTAAATAAAGTCCGACACAACTGACCTGGAAAAAAAGTCCAAATTTTTTGACCATAAATATTTTCCGAAATTTCCAAGCCGAACGAAACACAAATTGATATGTTAAAATTACGTAATACATACATACATACATAAAATATCGTTCCTTTGGACTGTTACGATAGGATTTATGACGAACGAATTGTTAAGATCCATTTATTGACTCGATTTCGGTACAACAAAAACACGAAATTAAATCCGAAAATTCGAGGTTCCATTTCATCGTATCATATTGGTCCATTCGTTTAGGAGCTACATTGCATTGAGCTGCATTACATTGCTTTTTTTTACATTGAGAGTAAAAATACAATCAGATAACATTATTTCAGTCGCAAAGTGCAACCTCCTTCTATGTTTTTAAGCAACTTCCAAAAGAAGGATATTTTTTATTTGTAATTTTTTTCAGATATATTACACGAATACCTCTCTATTTGTGTGGGGTTACTCTTGAAATAAATACCAATAGATCGAGACGTTTTGGACGCTCGAATGACAATAGATACTAACGAAATAGTAGGCCCATATTGGAACCGGCACTGAGATGCGATGCCTTTAAAACTAAAATTTCAATTTGCTATCGAAATCTTTATGTTTTGAACTAAGCATTGGTAATATCAGTACCGCTGCGATATCTATAACAACTCTTTGGAATCAACTTCCAGCAGCAGTATTTCCGAACCGATACGACAACATAACCTTCAAGAAAAGAGCATATTCCTTTTTAAAAGGCCGGCAGCACACCTGCAATGCCGTAGGTGTTGTGGGTGACCATGGGCGGCGGTAGTCACTTACCATCAGGTGAGCCGCATGCTCGTTTGCCCCCTGTGTTGTAAAAAAAAAAAAAAAAAATCTATATATTGGTTCCCTTAGTTATTTAGTTAGGGTCGACAAAGCAGGCGTAATGCCTCTGGTATTGCAGGCGTTCATAGGCTACGGTAATCGCTTACCATTAAGTGGGCCATATGCTTGTTTGCCACCTCAGTGGTATAAAAAAAAAAATTATAGTGGAAAAAAGTCATGATCATCAATCATATCATTTCGATATACTGTTTCGCCCATGATACCCCTATGCGTTGCCATTCCCGAGGACTCGGGTGTTATTCCTTTGTACCCTGTAAATTCACGCCATATCCCACCCTTCAAACTGAAACACAGCCATGCAAACACAATTGCTTCACGGTAGAAACACGAATGGGACAGAGGTACCCAAGCAATCGACTTTTGTACAAAGTCTCTTTAAATTTTCAGAATATTTTTTGCAATTGATACGATTAGAGTTGTAAAATGTAAATTCTCCCATTTCCGCATTGTCTCTCATTTGGACCGTTGTACGTGTGAGTCGTTACGTGGCTAATACAGTCAAGCTCTGCTAAGAAGCACAGAGGCTTCCTGGGATCTTTACAGGCCTGTTTTTTCTATCTAGATGTAATAATCGTTTTGATAGTCGTTGATTCAACGTTGGCACGACTAATTTTCACTGTCTGGTTTTGTATGTCAGTGCATCTTCAACGAATCCATGTTCGAAACTGCGAGAATGGAAGAGAAAGAAGTGGATACGGGTTTGTTCGTTCTTTCGTTTCGAAACCTCTTCTAGCTAGCTCTTATGAGGCATTGTTACCATAAGATTAATTTTTTTTATACAACATAGAATGGCAAACAAGCTGACGGCCCACCTGATGGAAAGTGGTAACCGTCGCCTATAGACATGAGCTGTATTATGGACATAACAGAGTATACTGTTTCGCCCACGATACCCCCCCATGCGTTGCCATTCCTGAGGACTCAGGTGTTATTCCTCTGTACCCTGTAACTTCACGCCATATTCCACCCTTCAAACTGAAACACAACCATGCTTCACGGTTGAATTACGAATGCGACAGAGGTACCCAAGCAGTCGACTTTTGTACAAAGTCCCTCTGGTAAAATATCTATATATCGTCGTACATTATTACGTTTTTGGTGCATTTAAGAGTTAAACAAAATAAATAATAGGCACGTCTGGATACCGATGGCGGGAAAAAAGGTTGTCACCCATTTCGATATCACCCGTACCGGTCGGATATCTATATTAATTTCGAACAGGTTCTTTATTTTGATATTGTATATTGGATAATCGTTACTTCATACCTATATCCGATATTGGGCCAATATATGCATATTGTGATTGTAATATATCTACAGATATTGATATCGAGTATCTGTGCACATCCTAAACGTTGACTGGTAGAGAATGCCTGTAGCATTAAGTCTGCCTTTTGTACTATATTTTATTTGTTAATAAAGTTTAAATATTTGTTTATATAACTCATTTGTGGTTGGTAGACTGTGGGAGGGTTGTTTGTTTCATCGTTTTTCGACTCGTGCCACTATAAATTCCGAGTTGCAGTACCTAATCGAGGGCTGTTTTAAAAAGATGTTAACTATTTGGATTGCAGGCGATATTTTAACAGTAGTCATGTTATTTTCCTGTCTCCGATGGTTTCGTCTATATACTAAATGCCAATCATAAGTCCATGCACACGGTGGTCCTTTTTATTGTTGAGTTTGAGGTTGAATAGATTCAGTAGATATCTTTCTCGGAAAATATTTAAGGGAGTCAAAGAGAAGTCTTCGCAATTTTTTTTTTTAATGGAAGATAATGAATAGAATAATCCCGCCCGCGCTATTGGATTTTGCCAGTAGTTGCCGCGCTTGGCAAGCGGGTTAGGCTTTGGGACATTCTATGTCGGTACCACACGGCGACGAAAATACCTACTTATTCAGCTATCAGAATATGTGTTTTTGCTGTTTGCAGCCGACTTTGTGTGCGCCTCGTTTTCAAA